TGTGCTGCGTCCTTGGTCCCACTGCCTTGGGACAGGGCTCCTGGATGTCCCCCTGACTGGCAGAGAGGTTATAATTGGAGCCTAGGGTAGGAGGAACCTCAAGAGTAGAGGATGTTGGGGGGGGGGGTGCCCAGGTATAGAGCTGCCAGTACATGAGGGGAGAGTGGTAGGCACATCCTTAGGTAGCCGGCTGTGCTGTGAGCCAAGCGCGGCTGTGTGCTTTCTTCATGCACTTAGCAGTGGACCGTGTTAACATGAGGTTGCTTTGTGACAGTTGGCAGCCTGAGGTTTGCATTCTGATGGCTATGGCAGGCATATGACTGTTTTCCAGAGCTCAGTGATGGGCTCAGTCAGCCCTGCAGCAGCATTGTGAACTGGAAGAATCCGAAGGCCCTGGGCAGATGTTACAAGATCCTGGTGATGGCACTAATGGGAAATGTGGACACTTGAGAACCGATTGCTTTCTTTGGCTCTGAATTCCAATTTCTTTTCCAAATCCATCTTCAACCAAACTGCCACAAATGGGAAAACCGACAAGCTAAACCTCTTCCTGGGCTCAGGCTTACCAAATAGGTAAAAAGGTACAAACAGCCAAAAATCTGTAGAGAAGTGAGAAGTAGCCAAGCCTTTCATTAGGCAAATGCTGCTATGTCAATCCACAAATATATGGAGCTGGCTGAGAAGCAGCAGACCTGATATGGGAACTGGACGCGCTCCAAGGAGCACATGCATGCTGGCTGTAGACAGCAAGGTCAGCACACAGCAGGCCAGGCAGTGAGGAAGCCCGAGCTGGGGCTGGGGCAGACCCCGGCGAGTGCTGTTCCTCAGGTTTGCCTCCGTGGGAAAATCTCCCCCTCCCGGGGCAGGGTGGGGGTAGTTAAATATGCAGATTCCCAGACCACGTCCAGATAATGGCCACAGACTGCTTGTAGCAAGCATGTTTAGGAAACCATGCAGACGCAAGTGCATCTTGAATTAGGGAATTTGGCCTGCTGGCCCTCTTTCGAAGATTTTTTTTTCTCTGTTCTGGTGATTTCCACCCCTGATAGTACCTCAGTCCTTGTAACATATGGAGACTTGACCTTCATGGAAATGTATAATGTTATGACGTAAAACCTGGGGAAGGCAGTGTCAAGTAGCGACCATTTATTAGCTTCCGTGCTGGCATTTTGCCCCTGCGTTATCAGACTTATTTCTCACAGCAACTTCACCTAGGTCATCTCGTTTCCTTTTACAAAGGAGGAGAGTGAGGCTCACAGAAGTTAAGAAACTTCCCCCAAATCATGCATTTAGAAGAGACACAGCTAAAATGTATTTGAAGAGTCTTTGATTGACACTTTAACCTTACTACCTAAATATAAGATTCAGGGATTTCAAAAAGCTCATGGAAAAATGTGCTTAAAAGATGGTGAACATTTTCCATGGATTTTTTTTTGAAAACCATTGCTTTTGAGATCAGTGAGATATTTCATTTCTTTACAAAAAAATTTTATTTCTATTTATTTGAAGGGAGGGGAAGAGAGAGAGGAAGGAAGGGAAGGTGGGGAGAGAGAGGGGGAGATTGATCAATCTTCCATCTATTGCTTCATTCCCCAAATGCTTGAAATAGCTGGGAATGGGCCTGGAGAAGCCAGGAGCCACAAGCTTCATACTGGCCTTCCACTTGAGAGGCAGAACTCAAGCACTGGAGCTGTCATCAGCTATATCCCAGAGTGCACATCGGCAGGAAGCAGGTTCCAAAGTGAAGGTGGGACACAATCCCAGATGTACTGACATGGGATGTGGGCATCCCAAATGGTGGCTTAATCCACTGTGCCACATCTCCGACCCTGTGACATTTCATTTTGAGGAGGAGAGAACTAAAGCATGAAGTCATCTGGAGAGTTATGGTGGGTCCAGGATAAAATGCCTGGACCCCTCTGTCGTGCTCTCCTGCATTTTTCCAAGCCCTGCAGGTGCATAACTGGGTTTGGAACTCATGCTCCTCCAAGCCCTAAGGAGGTGGCTTGCACAGAGCTCCTTAGCTGGGGGAGCCCCTGCATAGGTCTATAGCCTGGATGGGGTTACACACTTGTTGGCTAGCTTCACCAACAGGGCTGAAACCTGTGTCCCTCTGCCAAGATCTGACCTTTATATCAGCTGATTCTCATGTACCATTTCTCATATGTGAGAATGACTAAGAAATTCAGATCAGAGCAAGCACTCAGGAGTCGGTTCTTGTAGATGACTTTTTTTTAAGTTTCTCTTGAAATAGTTTTAGTAGTTGCCTGAGAAAACTTACCTTGTGCTCATTAATAAAGCAGGCGGGGGCAGGGAATGTGGCCAGGTGACTATGCAGGCAGCAGGAGCTCACGGCTGAGCAGGCTGTGTTCTTTGGCCTGGCAAACAAAGGCATGATTTGTGCCTGGCAGCCTCAGTGCCCTGGAGGGAGCAAGAGGGCGCGCGTTGTCGGAATCCATCCTGCAAGCTTGCAGTGCTTTCTTTTGTCCTCCCTGATTTTCTCCCTAGTAAATTCCTCTTCCTTCTGTAAAACTGAGTTCCAATTCTGCTTCACTCATACCCCTGTTTCTCAGCCTTCACATGGAGTCAGCTCCCATGTCTCCCACTCAGACATCCGGTTCTGACATCTCCCAGACTACTCCACTAAATGTTGCTTGGTTTGCTTTGCCTTCCATTTTGCTCTTAGCTACAAGATCAGAAGCTCTCGGAGCGCAGGAAATTCTACCTTGCCCCTCTTGGCTTCCTTCTCTGCAGAGCACAGTACCTTCCAGAGTCAGCGTCCATCACTGAGGACCGCACAGTGGATCTCCAAAGGTGCATTAAAAGCTCCTCCCCGGCTTTCAGCCACCAGATTTCTGGATCCCTTCTGTCGGGAGGCTTCTGTGGCTAAACTCACAGCCCCCAGCCTCCCTGTATGCGGGAGACCTGTCACCAGTTGTCATTGTAGAGCCTGAGGCTGAGTGCCGGGGCACAGAGAGATCCTTTTTATTTTTTGGCCGAGATCTGTCTTGAAGCCTGGAAGAGTAACTCCTGTCCTCTGTTGCCTTGGGGTGCTGGGCTCTGGCTTGCTCTGGGGCTGACAGATGACTGTATTTCTGTGCCTGAGGCATCCTGCAAGGACCCTCACTGGCTGTGGAGCTGGCCTAGTTGAGGAGGAAGCAAAAATAGGCTGAAGCCCTCTGGTGGAAGGGGAAGGAAGGTACTTTCTTAGCTGTGCCTCTGGGCCAACAGGAGGAGCCTGAATGGAGTCCTGGGGAGAAGCTTGGGATGGGCTGTGAGGAAATGGAGAGGGCTTTAAGAGGAGTGCTGACATCAGAAGTGGTTTTCAGACAAGTGACCGTTTGCGGCAGCCAAAGAGAGAAAAGGTCTGGCTTTTCTAAGCAGTGGAGAGAACTCTTGCCTGTGAACTTGAGTGTGACCTGCAAAAGAGAACTACCGCACAAGGTTATAACCCTGAACCCTGAACCCTGAACCCAACTAATTTCCAAGTCCAATACTTTCATAATCAAGGCCCAGAGTCCCTTGTTTACTGAACAGTTGATTGCAGAGAGGGGTTAATGTGGGTAGAGGAGTGGAGAGAGAGATGAGTTGCCACTGGAACTCGTGCAAAAAGTTCTCCCACAGAGCCTGAGAAGGGGTCTCGGGGCTCCCCGCTTCTTGTCCCTGGGCAACAGGCATCATGGCCAGGGCAGATGTGGGCTGGAATGAGATGAGCCCAATTTCATTTAGCCTCACACATGTTCTGGGTATCTTGGGGATACCCAGTCCTGAATTTGATCTGGGGTCATCTGGCTGTGTTACACCCACACTTGTGCTGGGTCCCACCTCTTTCCCTTAGGATCACTTGAAGTTGTCAATCCAGGTTTGAAGATCAGGATTGGAGTCTTAGAGGTTTTCCCATGGTTGAGTAGGAAAAACGCCTTTCTAGTGATCAGACCCTGTTTCTTCTTTCCTTCCCTGGCAGGGTCCAGCACTAGTCCCAGGCCCCAGGGTGCTCTGCTGGGGACCCTGCAGCTCAGGTGACAGCCATGTTAGTCCCATGGACTTCTCACAGGCTCTTGGAGAAAGAAAGAGAGGACCACAGTTATCCCTGTAAGCAGAGAGCACAGAGAAAGGTTAAGAGTGGAGGTGGATGGGGCTGGCGCTGTGGCATAGCAGGTTAAACCCTAGCCTGCAGTGCTGGCATCCCATATGGGCAGTCATTCAAGTCCTGGCTGCTCCACTTCTGATCCAGCTCCCTGCTAATGCACCTGGGAAAGCAGCAGAAGATGGCCCAAGTGGTTGGGCCCCTGACATCCACGTGGGAGACCTGGAAGAAGCTCCTGGTTCCCGACTTTGGCCTGGCCCAGCTACAGCCATTGCAGCCATTTGGGGAGTGAACCAGCAGATGGACAATCTCTCTCTCTCTCTATTTACCTCTCCCTGTAACTCTTTCAAAATAAATAAAAATAAATCTTAAAAAAAAAAGAGTAGACGTGAGAGGTGGATATGATTGTTCTATTAATTTACTGAAATGGGGATTTTATATATGGAGCGTTTATGAAAGGTTGGCTCAAATTTAGAATTGGAAGTGCCCATGTTGTGGGGCGGGGAGTTACGCTCCCACTTGTAATGACAGCATCCTATAGGAATACTGGTTTGAATCCCAGCTGCTCCACTTCCCATCCAGCCCCCTGCTAATGTGCCTGGGGAAATAGCAGAAGATGGCCCAGGTGGTTGGGCTCCTGCCCCTGTGAGACCTAGATGGATTTCCTGGCTCCTGGCTTTGGTCTGGCATAACCCCAGCTGTTGTGGCTTTTTGCAGAGTGAATCAGCAGATAGACGATTTCTTTGTCTGTTCCTTCCCCTCTCTCACGCACTGTCCCTTTCAAATAAATAAAATAAATCTTTTTTGAAAAAACATTGCAACATTCAAGGACAAGTGGAACATGTTGTATTAGAAACTGGGTTTCCTTGGGTCACAGTGTCACCAGACTCCTAGTGCTCTAATGACACCTACTTTACCCTGAAGGATTCAGAGAATGACTACTGACTATGGGAACTTGCTGGCTGTGCCCGTGGGCACCACAGTGACAGCTTTGTGACGTCTCAAGTCCGGTTCCAGGAGTGACGATAAGCAGAACATCAGCGTAAAGCTTCCTGCCATCGTGTCTCAGGTCAGCTGCTACTCAGAGAGGAGAGAACTGAGTCATAGCCTCCCCAAGCGAGCAGGGATGGCCGTTGCTGGGGAGCCTTGGCTTCTCACCTGACCAAACCGCATTTGAGCACCTCCTCCTGGGTCTGTGCTCTCAACTTCTTGTTCCCTGGGAGACTGTTCCAGAATGCTCTGAGCATCAAAAGATGGGTGAAGGTCAGTAAAGCACAGTGCCCGCGTGTCATGGGCCCAGGGCAATCGTCACAGACAGGCCCGCCATCCCTTGCAGGCTGCCAGCATGCACTCTTTTCCCTGGACACAATTTAGTTAGCTATCCCCAGTCTCCCGGCAACCCTGCTTGAATTGCGGTTGTTACAGTGCACTAACTGGGAGGGACGGCATGGAGGGCACATTGTGCTGCTAGCATCAAGCTGGGTGGGCCGTTCTGCCACTTCTTTCACAGTGTGTTGAGGGTTCGTTATGGAGCCCATCTTACTCACTTGTATTGCCTCCTCCTCTCCCAGGGGTACACTCATGTGACATTCAAAACAATGGGAAATTGGAAGAATTGACAACAAAGAGGAAAGCACAAGAAACAGGAAGTGATAACACCGGAAATGAAATTTGAAGAGAGCGTGAATGGGGTCATGGAAGGTGGCTGGCTGTGCCAGCGTTGTCACGGCTGCCATCCATGAGACACAAGCTATGAGTCCCAGGTAAGAATCTCACTCTCTTATGAGATGAGAGGAAGACAAGCACTAGTCTAACTTGGCTTGGTAAGGATTTTTTTTTTTTACAAAGACACACAGTGTTTCAATTTTCAGTATTTCTAAGATTTTTAAATTACTGTGTACTAAATAAATAAATAAATATTTCTTTTCCTATGCCTTTATACCAACAGAGTTTGTAATGTCTTGGCAATCATTTTTAAAGGTCACATAACAATTGTAATTTTGTCACTGATGATTAAAATTGCTTGTGTGAGTTCAGCATCCACAATTATTGTATTTTATTTTTACAGAGGGAGACAGAGAAAAGGAGGGGGAGGGAGATGGAGGAGAAGGAGAGGTAGAGATAAGGTGGTGGGGGGAGGGGAGGCAGTGGGGAAGAGGGAGGGAGAGGGAGAGATGTTCCATCTGCTAGCTTACTTCCCAAATGGCCACATCAGCCAGGGCGAGGCCAGGCTGTTCCAGGAGCCAGGAACTCCATCTTGGTCTTCCACATGGGTGGTGGAAACCCAAGTACTTGAGCCATCATTTGCTACCTCCCGGATGCGTTAGTCTGCTTTGGAAGTGTGGAGTAGCTGAGATGTGGACCAGGCCCTCAGATGTGGGATGTGGGGGTCCCCCGTGGCAGCTTTACCTGCTGTGTGACAGCACCCACCTCTCCAGTTGTTTTTAAGGTCTCACACAGCTGTGCAGTGTGAGGGCTACACACAAAAATACACACACGCACACATCCCACTGTGAGTGACTTGCGATCATTTTGCTTGGATATTTTGCATGCATGTCGGGAGAGCTTGGGCTACACATTTCATGCTGTGATGACCTTATTAGGTTTCGTAACCACTGTTGATTTGGACTCACAAGTTGGGAAATATTTCCGTGTTTTCTGTTTTCCGAAAGTGATTGCATGTATGATTGGTGAATTTACCAAAGATGCTATCTTTTCACAGAGATTCCTTCTTGGGATAGTTTCAAATAAAAAGGTCAATTTCTTTAATGGAAAGTTTAGTTTTGATGAGCTTTGATTTTCTAGTAATATGTCATCTGAAAAGTTGAAGTTGATATAAATTCATCTTTCTTATCCTTTCACTATGATTTTATATTTATAAAAACTTTAGAGATTTCTCATTTTACATTCATGCTATTGATAATTTGTGCCACCACTCTCAATCTTTTTTCATGAGTTTTGTTAGGGGTTTATCAATTTCATTAAATTAAAAGCAACAAGCTTTGGTTTCTTTCTTTCTTTTTTTTAAGATTTATTTTATTTATTTGAAAGACAGAGTTACAGAGAGGCAGAAGCAGACAGAGAGATCTTCTATCTGCTGGTTCACTCCCCAGATGGCCCCAGTGGCTGGAGCTGGGCCGATCCAAAGCCAGGAGCCAGGAGCTTCTTCTGGGTCTCCCACATGGGTGTAGTGGCCCAAGGACTTGGGCCATCTTCCACTGCTTTCCCAGGCCATAGCAGAGAGCTGTATCAGAAGTGGAGCAGCCGGGACTAGAATCGGTGCCCATATGGGCTTCAGGCCAGGGCTTTAACCCACTGCGCCACAGTGCTGGCCCCTGTTTTCTTCCTTTGGAGGATTGTTTTCTGTTTCATTAATGTCTTCTCTTCTCTTTACAAATTTCTTTTTATTCTTTTGTACTAAATTTACCATTTTTTCTGATCTATTGAGTCTGATATTTTAGTTATTGGTTCCCTGTTTTTCTTCTTCCATAATTTATACGTTTAATGTAGTAGATTCTCCTGTAAGCATGGCTGTAGTTGTGTTGACCAGTTTTCATGACATTTTTATTAACACTATGTCTCAGAATACTTTCTAATTTCCTTTGACCCATAGATTATTTAGAGATATTACTGCTTTACTTTTGGAGGATTCGCCAGTTATTATTTTGATGTTGATTTCTAGCTTAATTCTTATGATGATTTTACTATAATTAGTAAAATGAGGAATTTTGTCTTTTCCAATTTGCTGAGGCTGATTTGAATTGTGTCCTTCAAAAGATATTGAAATCCTCATCCTTAGCACCTGTTACTGGGACTTTATTTGGAAATAGGGTCTTTGCAGATGAGAAGTTAATATGAAGTCACTGGATGGTCCATTTCCATTATACCTATGCTTTTATAAAAAGGGAGATTTGGGAGAGAGGTACATTAAAGTCTCTCTAATTTTGTATTTGCTTTTGATTCTGTCACTTTTTGCTTCACTTATTTTAAGCTATGTTATTAGATGCAAACATATTTAAGATTGTTATATCCTACTAGAAAACCAGCTCATTTATCATGAGATATTCCTTTTTTCTCCAGTAATGTTTCTTGTTTTCCAGTGCACTTTGTATGTTACTGTAGTTTCAACAACCTTTTTGAGTGAGTGTGTAATGTAGTATTTCTTTCCCCATCTCTTTACTTTTAATCTTTCTTGCTTGCTTCTTGCTTACTTGCTTTCTTGACAGGCAGAGTGGACAGTAAGAGAGAGAGACAGAGAGAAAGGTCTTCCTTTTCCGTTGGTTCACCCCCCAGTGGCTGCTGCGGCCGGCGTACTGTGGCTGGCGCACTGTGCTTATCCGAAGCCAGGAGCCAGGTGCTTCCTCCTGGTCTCCCATGCGGGTGCAGGGCCCAAGGACCTGGGCCATCCTCCATTGCACTCCTGGGCCACAGCAGAGAACTGGACAGAATCCGTCGCCCCGACCAGGGCTAGAACTCAGTGTGCCAGCGCCACAGGCAGAGGATTAGCCTATTGAGCCGCAGCACCGGCCTACTTTTAATATTTCTGAGACTCCATAGTCATGTGTCTTTTAAGTGACAGATTAAAAAAAATCTATTCTGACCTTCTTTATATTTTTCTTCTAAATTTTTTTATTTTCATTTCATTTGAGGAAGGGGAGGGGGGTCTTCCATCTACTGGTTTGCTTCCCAAATGCCCACAATAGGGCTGGGCCAGGCCGAATCCAGAAACTTGGAACTCCATCTGGTTCTGTTGCATGGTTGGCAGGGACCCAAGTACTTGAGCCATCATCATACCCAGCAGGATTCTGGGTCGGAAGCAGAAGAGCCAAGACAAACCAGGCACACGGATAAGGGATGTGGGTGTCCCAAGCAGCAAGTTAACTATTAAGCCAAATGTCTACCCCAGGACCTTCTTTGTCTTTTAACTGGAGATAAGTTTAGGTTTATATCTACTGCTTTGCTGTTTGGACACCTATGTGTTTTTTTCTTTTATCTTTGCTTCTTTCTTAGACTACCTTTTTTTTTTTTAGAATTTATTTCATCTCACCATTTAAAAATTTGTTAGTATATATCCTTTTTTAAAAAAAGATTTATTTATTTATTTGAAAGGCAGAGTTACAGAGAGACGGAGGTAGAGAGAGAGAAAGATCTTCAATCTGCGGGTTCACTCCCCAGTGGGCTGCAACAGTTGAAGCTGTGCCATTCAGAAGCCAGGAGCCAGGAACTTCCTCCAGGTCTCCCACACAGGTGCAGAGGCCCAAATACTTGAATCATCCTCCACTGCTTTCCCAGGCCATAGCAGAGAGCTGGGTTGGAAGTGGAGCAGCCAGGACTAGAATTGGCACCCATATGGGATGCCAGCACTGCAGGTGGCGGCTTTACCCACTACGCCACAGCACCGGCCCAGTATATGTTCTTTTAATAATATTTTAGTTGTTACTATAAAGATTACAACATATGTATTAGGAATGTTTGGGAAAAACAAATGAGAGAGAGAGAGAGAGAGGAAGGAAGGGAGAGGGAGAGGGAGAGGGAGAGGGAGAGGGAGAGGGAGAGAGAGAGAGAGAGAGAGAGAGAGAGAGAGAGAGATTGTTTTAAGGAATTGGGTCACATGATGGTAGGGTACAGTGTAGAACCTGAAGGCAGGCTGGCAGTCTGAGTCCACATGCAGTCTTCTGGCAGAATTCCTTCTCTTGGGGGAGGTCAGTCTTTGATCTATCAAGGCATTAAACTGATTGCATGAAGCCCACCCACATTATGGGGAATAATTGGCTTCATTCAGTGTCCATTGACTTGGCTCCAAAACACCTGCACAGACACCTCCAGAAAAACGTTTGATCGAGTATCTGAACACGGTGGCCCAGCCAAATGGGCTCATAAAATGAGCCATCACACATGCATCCTTGGCTTGCCACACTCTAATATAACTGATTAGGTTTATCAGTTCATTCTATTCTACCCCTTCCTGCCTTTGCATTTTTGCCATTCCACACCCCGTTTCTCTGTATATTTTCAACCTTAGAAGTTCAAGTCTTAGTAAGGAAGTGTCAGTGTTGGTCACTAATGTGCAGCTCTCCCTAGCTGGCATTGACTAAGGCATTGCTAAGTTTGTTCCTGTCAATTCACATCTGAAAAATCATCCTATCCATATGTACTTTATGCTTTGGTGTCCACTTTCGCTCCAGAAATTCTAACTTTAGACTTAGAAGTTAGCTAAGGGTACAGGTTTTGTTGAGAGCCATATTTACACATCACCTAGTGTTCACTGAAAGGGTTAAGCCTTGGGAGAGTCTGATCCTTTATTTGTTTCTTGGGTCAACTGAACTACCTGTAATTCACAATCCAAATACTTCAGTATGATTTTCTTTGTACCAAATAACACACAGGCAAGTTGCATAAAGTGTCCACTACAGTGAATGTAAGGAGAGAAATTTAACTACATGAATAGTAGGAGACTTCTGTACAATCTAAGACAAATCAAGTGGGAAAAATATATACAGCATCTGAAGAACACTAAAGCAAGTCTTATAGCTATTTTGAAACTTTACAATTTACAATAATTTGAAACTTTACAATTTAACATTGTGCTGCATTTGCTTCAAATGTAGGCATTACATACATGTACACATGTGCTATTTTTCTTGAAAACAGAGATATTAATACCACGGGGAAGAGATTCATGACAATGATCATGATTTTGGGAAAGAATAGTGTATTGTCATTTTCATGATATGATTCAATGAAGCACTATTTCTAACTAGAT